GATTTACTCCATGAACAAACAAATCTGAGGACAGGTACTTCCCACTTAGCAAACAAAGATTCAATTACATAAAAAGATTTTAAAAACCCAGAAAGGTATGTATATGAACATATGACCAGAATTCAATGATAAGAAAATTAAAATAGAGGGCATGTATAAGATACATGATTCAATAATAAGGAAATAAAAATAGGAAGGCAAATATGTAAAAACTGGAAATGTATAACAATTGGTGGTGCACTTTGCTAGGCTTTCTTCTGAAATGAAGAGAGCAATGGATGATGATTAGTTAATGTTACAATCTGGATATTTCTGCAGAGGAAAAGTAGATTGGATTCTTGTGAACAATGACTGCCTATAACCACTCATATATTCTGAATATTGTGTTCTGAGGGATATATTACAAAACAAGCACAAAGAAGGGAGGTGCATGATGGGAAAAATAAAAGGCTAAACAATTGAAACAGCAGCATTATAAAAACAGAGGGAGAGGGAAAGGGGGAGAGAGAGAGAGAGAGAGAGAGAGAGAGAGAGAGAGAGAGAGAGAGAGAGAGAGAGAGAGAGAGAGAGAGAGAGAGAGAGAGGGAGAGATGATGATGAAAACAATATCTAGGTTTTTTTTACATGTAGCTTATTATCTTTTTAGATTGACATGACAGGTTTGGCCTAATTTGCAGGTGGGATTTAAATTATGACTATTTAATAGATGTTTATTAGTTCTGCCGGACATGGATTATAGACCTATCAGAACATAGCAACACATTTGGAGATACAATATATGAAGGACAATGAACAACTGAAAAGCTACCACGCATGCTATTTAATTTCATTTGTATTTATTTGATAAGGAAATTAGAGAAACATCTTGTAGAGAAATCAGATATACACAGAAATGTTGTTCTTTTCCTAATTTGTTTAACATTTAAATTGTACTGTAATAAAGAAATCAGATTGCTAAAATGACTTTTATGTTAATATATAAGTATATCTAAACATGTGCATTTGAAATAAATAAATATACATGCGCTGCGCAAACGGTTGGCGCTATATAAATCCTGTATAATAATAATACTAATAATAATATAACTTTTTACAAAATATTTCTATCAGCAGCACTTAATTATTTTTTAGTAATAAAAAAGGTATTCATTTACTATATATAATGAGGTGTAATACAAGCTTGCAGGATGAAAAAATATACAAATATAAGCACCTATTCGGTCAATTTGGTGCTGTTATATTTAATTGTACCATGTTTTATAAGCATATAATTGTATTTTTTTTGTATTTAAAAACATAATTAGACACACTACATGTATTTTTTTAGCACAAGCACATTTCTGAAAATACTAAATCTGAACAGAAATTTAGCTGAAAAAATGTCTGCATTTCATCTCCCTATATTTTCTTCTACAGTGCTGTTAAAACAGAAATACAAATGTTAATCTATAAATGCTGTTCACTTTACAGGTAGACTCAGAGGGCTCTTTCCTAGATTACAAGTGAAGACTAGCCCATCAAATGGCCAGGATAGTAGAAAAGCTTACTATTTGACATTCTTTGTCAGTAAAGAAGAATCCATTAGTTGCTGCAGAGGTGAATAGACCCCCTGACTAAAATGTGCATTGATATTCATGAGGAGCAGGATACATAAAGATAAATTCTTGCTGTAAGTGCATTCGGATTCACATCAGTCTTTGCAGGCCTTTGCTCTGGGACTACTGAAGACTGATGTCTCTGCTGCTATTCTCCCCTGCTGTCTGGCCACCAGAAAAGAAAAATAAAAGACATGAAGAATCCTGCAATTTGTCAGCAAAACCGTGTTCCCATTTATTTTCATCCCATCACTGCTACCATGTTCCTCCCCAGCAGCCTGCAAGCCTTTATTCTTGATCAAATCCACATTGTGCATCAGGCTATAGCAATAAAGCCATCAACCTATGTCATAAAACTCTCAGTGCTGGCCACAAAACTTTATGACTTATGGTGGCTGCAAAGTGCCATCTTTGTTAAGGACAAGGACTCTCCTGAGTGACTTGATGTTATCAAATGCCAGGAAACACCAGGAGCTTTAAAAAAAAGTGTCATCTTAATGTGCTTGTTTTTGTCTATTGAATCTGAAAGAAGCTGGAAAGCAGTGTACAGCTTAAATACCCCCATTAAGCCTTTATGAGTTTGTTACTTTAATTATGGACTTGTTACAGACCACATAAAGGGGGTAATGAATGCAGCTGAACTAATTATCCACATGTTAGGATCATGTAAAATACCCAGCATTTGTTTACAAGGAGTTGTATGGTTTTTTTTTTCCTGCATTGCCTCTCCATCTTCAGCCAGCAGGCTCAGAAAGAAGGTAAATCTAGATGGATTTCAGTGTGTTGCTTCTGCCCATGCTGCTGATCTGCTGCAAATAACTCCGAAATGAAATTGTGTGTAGGGGGAAATGAAGAGAATAATGAATGTTTTCTTCCTCACAAGAACCTCCCCAGGCAGCAGGATGGGGAAGATCATCTATGTGTAATCATGTCACTTGCTGGGTAATTTAAGGCAGAACAGAAGGGCTGGGTGCAGAGAGGGCACAGAGGGGCAAATGTTAGGAACAGGGCTACTCAGTGGGCAGCCTCTACACTGATGCTACATGTGATATCCAGCAAAGGCAATTCTGAGAACAATGCCATACAAGATGAGGGTGAGGACTGAAGAGGTAATGAGAACAGCCAATTACTGCAGATAGTGGGATCAGTACTGGAAATTACAGCAACAGCATATTTAGTTATTATGGTGGACTTAAAAGTAATTAAAAAAAAGAAAAATCCTACACCTGAAAATAATAGGAATTTAATTATCAGTAGTAGTGGTTAACAAGATTTTTTACTAAAATACATCAATGTATTTTGATACAAAATTATAATTATGAACAATAAAATGTCAATAATAATAATAATAATAATAATATATAAAATAAAATAAATATAAAGTAAACTATTATTGTTATCATTATTATTGTTATTATTATTATTTTATCATTATTATTATTATTATGGATTAAATAATTATTAGCAATATATAGGTTTTGAAAGATATGTTTTTAGAAAGTAAAATAATAATATCACTAAACATAATTTATATAATAATGATAACGATAATAAAAAATAATATAAATAATAATAGCTGTTATAACAATAATAATCATAATAATATGAATAATAACAGCAATATAATTATGATGTGAAAGGTTATAAAGGTTTTGTACACTATGGATTTTGGCATGTTTAATATTTTTTAAAATATTAGTAATAACAAACATTTCACTTGAGCCAGCAGTATTTTTTTTTCTTAGCAACAGAAAGAAAGATGAAGGCAACAGAGTACAAATGATATGAAAATCATGATAGTAAAATTAAACTATGATGCCCAAAATCACATTTTTTTTTCTGCAGTTGCAAAGCAAAGAGGCAAAGATATGCATGTTTATGGTAACAATAAGGATGAAGAAAAAGTAATAATAATGTACTGAGCTAATATTGTTAATTTAATTTAAAAAAATACATTTAAAAAATGTAATAACAATAATAATAATAATAATAGGGTACTGAACAAATAATGGTAAATACAGCACAAAAAAAGACAAACTAGACAAAAAATGCAATTAAGACAACAACAGCATAATAATTATTATTGTTATTAATGTCCTGACCCAACAATGATAATTACAGTACAAAAAAGGACAAACTAGACATTTTATTTCCAATGGACACAAAAATATTAACAATAATAATAGTGTATTGAGCTAATAATGCCAACTACAGCACAAAAAGGAACAAACTAGACATTTTATTTCTAATAGACACAAAAACAGTAACAATAATAATAATAATAGTGTATTGAGCTAATAATGCTAACTACAGCACAAAAAAGGACAAACTAGACATTTTAAGTGTAATAAAAACAAAAACAGTAACAATAATAATAATAATACAAATAATAATAGCATACTGAGCTAATAATGTTAATTACAGCACAATCATGACAAAGTAGACATTATAAGTACAATAAACACAAAAGTAATAATAATAATGTATTGCGTAAATGAGTTAATTACAGCAAAAAAAGGACAAATTATTTGAAAAAAATGCAATAAACACAACAGTGTAAATAAAAGCAGTAATAATAATAATAAAATAGGATGACTGTGCATCCAGGATACTATTTCCAGGCACCGGCTATATGGGACCTGCTCTGACCCAGCATGCAGTGTGTAGACTCTGCAGAGAAAAGACTTGCCTTGGTCCACCTGCGATTAGAGTGTCAGCCTTGCTGCCAGGCCGATGTCAGTCCTCAGGGTCTCCTGAGGAAGTAGAAGGAGTTTGCAGCGTTCCCTGGCCATGGTGCTGAGCCCATACCTCTCTGCCATCCCTACCTGCACTGATGGGCCAGGCTCTGGTGAAAGTCATGGTGACCCTCATCATAAAAGTTTTTTTTTTCCTTTTCTTTTTTTTTTTCTCGTGTTACATGAAGCCTGCAAGGGAGCAAGAAAAAGGAGTTAACAACTACATGGAGGCATCTCAATTTATTGCCCAAGGTATATATGATGGGTTGAAATGGCTTAAAAGCTGGGGGAAATTGGATGAGGGAGAATCGTCACCCAACTTTCATTATTTGCACAGAGTGTGATTGAATTAAAGGGCAGGGAGCTGGTTAGAAGGGAGGATGGAGGGCTCGCTACGTAATGGTGTGCTATTAAATTCTAATTAGAGATGCAGGGAATCAATGATAGGGAGGTTGGACAGCTAAGGTCCCCCCAGTGCCAGCCCAATAGACTGATGAGTTATTGTCATGTAAAAAGCGCCAGCAATAAGACCAACCGCTTTGCTATTGTCCAAGTGGAAAGAGCCAAGTTTATTATGAGCACTATATGCTCTAGAGACCTCAGGCAAGGCATCTCATAGGAGGCTTTTTCATAAAACGAGGCTCTGCTGCTAGTAAGGAGGCCAGTGCTGAAGCAGGCGTGGAGCAGAGCACATCAGCAGCAGCACCATCAGCACCATCAGCACCTCCACCTCCTCCTCCAGCCTAGTCCATTTCTTGCCCTCTTTGGTCAGCCTTCCAGAGCCTTTTCAATGTATAAAATGGAATATTCTTACCTCAATTCCTCTGCCTACGAGTCCTGCATGGCTGGCATGGACACCTCCAGCCTGGCATCCGCCTATGCAGACTTCAGTTCCTGCAGCCAAGCCAGTGGCTTCCAGTACAACCCCATCAGGACCACTTTTGGGGCCACCTCCGGCTGCCCGTCCCTCACCCCCGGATCCTGCAGCCTTGGCACTCTCAGGGACCACCAGAGCAGCCCCTATGCAGCAGGTAAGTGGCTGCGAGGAGGAAGAGCCCTTCTCCCCTCGTATATACAGAGCCTTGATTGCATTTGAAAATGGAAATGTGTTTAGTATTTACCAAACCAAATTTGCTTACACAAATGAAAGAATTTATCACGTTACCAGCGATTGCAGGCGAGGCGTAATTCACTTACAGGGTTACACTATCCGAGTCACACCCGAACCGCCAACAAAATTATCCGAAGCTGCCAAAATGATCGGCATAATTTATTTACTCCGGGATGAGAGGAAAGCTGAGCGAATAATTCAATCACCCCCGAGAAAAAAACTCATCATGGCGCAGCCACTGTCCTAAAACCGGGCCACTCTGCTGGACACCGACACCGACACCCTGCACACCTACCGACACCGCTCCTGGACATGCCCGAGCCCCACACAACCCTCCGCCTCACCCACAACCACATAGATAGATAGATAGATAGATAGATAGATAGATAGATAGATAGATAGATAGATAGATAATTGATGGATAGATAGATAGATAGATAGATAGATAGATAGATAGATAGATAGATAGATAGATAGATATATGATAGATAGATAGATAGATAATTGATAGATAGATAATTGATGGATAGATAGATAGATAGATAGATAGATAGATAGATAGATAGATAGATAATTGATGGATAGATAGATAATTGATGGATAGATAGATGATAGATAGATAGATAGATAGATAGATAGATAGATAGATAGATAGATAGATAGATAGATAGATAGATAGATAGATAGATAGATAGATAGATAGATAGATAAAGATAGATAGATAATTGATGGATAGATAGATAGATAGATAGATAGATAGATAGATAGATAGATAGATAGATAGATAGATAGATAGATAGATAGATAGATAGATAGATAGATAGATAGATAATTGATGGATAGATAGATAGATAGATAGATAGATAGATAGATAAAAAAACGCATGGATGGATAGATAGATAATTGATGATAGATAGATAGATAGATAGATAGATAGATAGATAGATAGATAGATAGATAGATAGATAAAACGCATAGATAGATAGATAGATAATTGATGGATAGATAGATAATTGATGGATAGATAGGTAGATAGATAATTGATGGATAGATAGATAGATAGATAGATAGATAGATAGATAGATAGATAGATAGATAGATAGATATGAATGGATGGATAGATAAAAATAGATAGTGGATGGGTAAAAACATAGATAGTGGAGATATAGATAGATAAATAGATATATAATTAATAGATGGGTAAAAAAATATAGATAGTTAGTGGATGGATAGATAGAGACAGACAGATAGATAGATAGATAGATAGATAGATAGATAGATAGATAGATAGATAGATAGATAGATAATAGATTTGGCATATATGTATATAACATGATATTTTATATTTGAATACATATTGCTATAGCTCTTCGTAATTTTAGTGTTATAAAGTATCGTTTTGTCTTGTTTTTATTATTCTGATACAAATATATACATACACATAATGTTTTGGTACACTGCAAGTTTTACTTTTTATTTTTTTCTTTTGTTTCCTTTTTTTTCCTTTTTTTCTTTTTTTTTTTATTTTCTTTTCTTTTTTCTTTTCTTTCCTTTCCTTTCTTTTTTTTCATTGAGTTAATGATTGATCAGCTGAATTACAAAAACATGTACACTACTATACTAATCCTGTATTTGTTGCTCTGGTGACATTTTTCTGTAGTATTTTGACATTTGTGTCTCTGCATTGCTCCTATTACAATAACCCCGGTGCTCTGGTGTCTTTGCTGTCTCACAGTGCCTTACAAGCTGTTCACTGATCACGGAGGACTGAATGAGAAGAGGAAGCAGAGGAGGATAAGGACCACCTTCACCAGTGCCCAGCTCAAAGAACTGGAGAGAGTGTTCGCTGAGACCCATTACCCTGACATCTACACCCGGGAGGAGCTGGCCCTAAAGATAGACCTGACTGAGGCCAGAGTGCAGGTATGTGCATAGTCCTGACGTCTTCCTGAATGTGAAGGGTCATCATTTACCACTAGAAGGGGTCTCTATACTGGCTAGCAGTCTTCATTATATATAGACACACACACACATATATATATACATATATACTGTATACTCTTCACTAAATACTAGCATTATCAGCTTCGATTATATAATAGTATCTACTCTTTAATAAACTTTGTGTTCAGATGTGAATATGTGTTGGGCTTTCTCTTATAAACGGGCACAAGGAGCTATGATGCATAACAACCAATCAGAAATCAATATTTACTGCCCATTAATTATGGCTTTTATTAAGTAAATGCTGCGTTGTATATTTGGCTGTTGGGTATGTGGATGTTCTTCATCTAATGAAGGCTTTTATTTTGTCTCCCCCCCCCCCACTTCCTATATTCTGTCTCCATGCCTCATCATCCCCCCATGGCACCCTCATGCCCTCCTCCCAGGTCTGGTTCCAGAACCGCCGGGCCAAGTTCCGAAAACAGGAGAGAGCAGCAGCTGCTGCTGCGGGCCGCGGCAGCCAAGAACGGCTCCGCGGGGAAGAAGTCAGACTCCTCGCGGGAGGATGACAGCAAAGACAGCAAGATCACCGACCCTGACAGTACTGGGGGGCCAGGTAACAACCCTAACCCCACCCCGAGCTGCGGAGGGGGCCCCAGCCCTACAGGCTCCCAGGGCACAGGTGGGCCCCAGGACCAAGTCAAAGTTGGAGTGCAAGGTGCTAGCCTGTCATCAGCGTCGGTGGTCGGGGGCACTGGAGGGGCACAAGGCTGGGCCACTGGTCCAGGGGGCACCATCACCTCCATCCCTGACTCCTTAGGAGGTCCATTCGCCAGCGTCTTATCATCTCTGCAGAGACCCAATAATACCAAAACCAGCTTAGTGAAGAGCATGTTTTGAACTGGCCCACCAAGGGCATTAGTCCAGCTGCCTGTACTCACAATGACCTGACCACAAGGACTGCCAAGGACAGCTCAGCACCTGTATAGGTGGCCCATGATGAGTGCAGACTTCAGCACGAAGGACCACTAACTGCTACCAGCCACCAGGTGTGGCCAGGGTGCCAGTGGGCACAGCAGACCCAATGTAGACTGCCTGAACCATCCATGCCAATGGTGTGTACAGAGACCGGCCCAGGGCAGAGCAAGGCTCCCCCAAGTCCTGCTGCCTCTGTGACCATCATCTACTTGCCCTGGACTGCCACCTCTCCACTGCCCACCCCCCCAGTAATCTATTTATTTATCACAATGATTTGCACTGTGTTGCAGGCACTGCCTGTCTCCTACAGGACTGACACATCTCTTCCAGGTGAAATAATGACCTATTTATTACTTGTTTCGATTTAAAAAATTGTTTTTTTTTTTGTTTTTTTTATTATTATGATTAATATTATTATGATTTCATGGCACAAAGAATCTAGCTATTAGTTGTATGTTGGAGGTATGCTTTCTATTTTCTGTGTCTTTCTACAGCAGTGTTCTGTGACAGTCGTATGGTGTTTATAGGAGTACACATTTGTCGACAATTGTTGGAGTAAATAATGTGTTCAATGTCTTTATGGGGATAGAGAGGATCTCAGTGGCTCCTGTTCTGTTTGTTGGATCACTGGATCCTTCCACACTTTCTGTTTTGTTCCGGCCCAGCTGCATGTCGTCTGTTCTTCTCTCCATCACCTTCTCTCTGTGTAGCTCTATGGATGCTGAGAAGGGGCGACCCCCACCCCCCACCTTCACATGGGCGCTGTTTTCCAGCACACGAGTGTGCCATCTCCTTGATTGTTCATAATAAAAAGGAAGAAAAAAAACCTCAACAAGTCCTTTGTGTCGTTGTGTCTACACGGATCGAATACAGAAACCTGCTGGTGGCAATATACAGCAAATCCTACTTCTGCCTTCTGTTTTTACCATTCACAATCAACCACATACATTTTTTCATTTATTATCATTTTACATTTATAAAAAACAGTATATGAATATAAAAAAAGAAAGGAAGAAAGATCAACCACATATATATTTTCATTTATTATAATTTTATATTTATAAAAAAAAGTAAATGAATGCATTTATATTTATTATATATATATATATATATATATATATATATATATATATATATATATATATATATATCAATATTAATTCTGTATATTTATATAAATATATATATATATATATATATATATATATATATATATATATAAATATATATAAAAAATCTGTGTGAAGAAAGAAAGAAAGAAAGAAAAAGAAAGAAAAAAAGAAAGAAAAAAGAAAGAAAGAAAGAAAGAAAGAAAAAGAAAGAAAGAAACAACACATATATCTTTTCATTTATTATAATTTTATAAAAAAAAAAAAAAGTATATGAATGCATGAGAGAGAGAGAGAGAGAGAGAGAGAGAAGAGAAAAAAAAGAAAAAGAAAGGAAGAAATACATTTTTGTTTAAACAGAATTACAAGTGTTTAAATATTCATTGAAGTATTACTGTTTTAAGTATTTCACACATCTGTAAAAAAGTCAAAGTAGTAGCCAGATATTACATGGGTGATAGAATGATACGTAGATCATTTTTTGTTCATACAGAACCACAAAAAAAAATTATATAGAGAGAGAGATTTTTTTAACAGATGTTGGAAAAAGTGTATCCAAAAATTGTAATTTAGATGTTTATATAATATATGCTGTATATGTAAATATTTGTGGTATTGTATTAACAATAAAAATCGATCTACTGTATGTATCATAAGTAGAGGAGAGAAAGCAAGAAAGAAAGAAAGAAAGAAAGAAAAAAGAAAGAAAGAAAAAAAAAAATTGACGGATAGATAAATAATTTTTTTTACCATTAACACACAACTATACATATATTAATGTACATATTGCCATGTGTATACTACTTTGACACACACACACACATACATATATATATATATATATATATATATATATATATATATATATATATATCATATAAAAATAATGTCTCCAGTTACTTACCACACAACCAGCAATAATTGATAATCATAGTGTTATACTCTATCCACCGTTCAATTGTGAAGTCGCAGTTTATATTACAAACATATCTATACACCCAATATTATATTATATTAATTATATTTATATTATATGTTATAATGGTTATATTATGTTATAGGCGTTACGGAAAGACTAGATTTGTGTGATTTATACATTTTTGATGCATTTGATATTGTTTCTGCGGTGTGATATCTTGAGATCCGACGCTACCAATCGGAAAGACAATCGTCTCCTATGAAGAGTCGGCCGGGAAGTGAAGATTATGGTCGGCAGAGGATTTGACTACATCGCAAGGATGGAATGCGGGTCTGTCAGTGTAGGAGCCCCCACCCATCTCATTCCATGACACCGCCAGACACTAGAGGGAGGGCTATACACAGCAAACATAGGGGACGTACAACTGCACCTAATGGAAAAATAATAACAATAATCATAGTTACATAACGAAATAGTAACAATAGTAAAACAGTACGAATAATAATCAATCAGAATTACCTAATGTAATAATAATAGTAATAATAATTATAAATAATAGTAATAATAATAATAATATTTTAATTCATTAGGTTGGTAATATTAATAATATACTTCTTCTTATTTATTATTATTATTATTATTAATTATTAATAATAATAATAATAATATTATGATTAATATGCAAGCAGAAGATTGGTGAAACAGTTTTTCCTCATCCTGGAATATCCATTATTGGACAATGAGCCCCCATCGATGTCTCAGTTCACTCACATTGTGATCAGGTTTCCTCCATCCATACACTGACAATTGTTAGCATCTACACCACTACAGATACATGCCTTTGTCTTCCCTATGGCCCGGTGTACTGGTAAAGTATATGTAGAAGGTACATTTCCATCACAAGGTGTTGGTATCTTCTAATAAGTAGCGTTTAGCTGTCAGAATATTTGACATTAGTAATAAATGACAATGTAGCCCAGGATAAGGCACAGACAGTAGGGGAGATTTAAGCTGGCCATACACGTGTAGATCTTTGGATCAGAATATTCCTACGAAAATTCTTTGAACATTCCGTGAATGGATGAATGTCCTCTGAAAATGGCCCTTTGCTTTTAACATTCGAGTTTAAAATGAATGTAATTTCTGAACAATAACCACATTAACTGACCGAAAAATTCGTTTGATCGAGGAAAGTTTTACTTTGTGCCCCTTTTAATTTTCCCGTCACTGCGGTTGCAAACTATTAGAAAATCAAAACGAATAGTCTTTGAAACAAAAAATTTTAGAACAAAAATCTATACGTGTATGGCCAACTTTACTAAATCTGGAACACTCAGAATCTGGTGTAGCTGTGCAGCCAATCAGCTTCTAACTTCAGCTTGTTCAGTTAAAGTGTTACTAAACCCACAACAGTAAAATCAGTCTGTATATGCAGTAAAGCATGCTTGTTATACTCACTGTGGAACTTAAGGGGTTAATACTCTGCATTGTGTAAAAAGGCTGTTTGATCTTGTCTTCTCTGATCCTCCCATTCTTCTACTGTCCTCAATCCATCTGCTGATGGTACAGAGCTCTAGGAGACACTCTGCACATGCTCAGTTTAATGTGTATTGCTAGAGAGTTTTTTTCCTCTTTGGGAGGGTGCATGTGATTAGCACAGGGCCAATCAGCACTGTCCAGGCAGAAGGTCAGGGGTTATGCAGCCTCATAGGACAGTCAGAGCAGAATGAAAATTCCTACCACAAGCTTTAATCAGTTGTAGAACTCATTGTAGAAGTATAGTATATTGGCACAAATGAGCAGACTAAAGGGGCCCACTACCCAAAGAGCTTCTCCAGTGATCTGAAACAAGCATGGTGCCAGTTAAATCAGAATTCCAGGATAAACCTAACTAGCTCTAAAAATGCTCCCTCTCCTTCTTAAAACGTATACTGACTAACCTGTATAAGAAAGATGTACCTACCTCCTGATTTTCAGCCCACTCTGGTCTAGTCATGTGATCCGGCTTCCCTGTGTCAGTCAGCGGCAGCTGCAGGGGAGAGGAGGGTGTACCAACAACAGATGGGCCATGGGAGCTTATGGGTGACGTCACTACAGAGGCACTGAGAGGAGGAGTTTCATGGGGCAGAGTCTGTACACGAATCCCTACTTGCCAGTAGCAAGGTACCATAGGATATGTAGTCCTTGCTTACAGTCATTACTGACTTCTTCTGAAAATGCTAGCTGCCTGGCTGTCACAGTGACCTTCCTGTTTCAAGTGTTGCTGACCCCGATCTACTAAACAGTGAGCATAAAGCCAGGTAACTAGCATTTTTAGAAGAAAGTTAGAAATGTCAGATTTCATATTTCCTTTGTGACAGGTTTATTTTAAAGCTTAAAATATAGCACTCACAGTAATTTAGATTATTTCCATGTCACTAATCTAAAAAAAAAAAGAATGTAACACTTGTCACTGTAGATTGTAGACTGATAAACCTGTAAGTGACTGGTCCTAGAAAAACCTGCACTGAACCCCCAACACAATAAACTGCAGATGGCTGCAGGGACCAGGACTGGACCTTGGGAAAGGTAGATATCGCCATCTAGTGGATATGAGATAGTAAAACCAGAGGGATGGGATATGTTGCAAAACAATTTTCTATTTATTTGTCATTATTATTATTATTATACAGTATTTATATAGCGACAAAGGGTATGCTCAGCGCTGTACAGTAGCAAGGGGGACAGAACATGAGACAAGACAGTAACAAAACAGTACACGAGGGGTTCGAGGGCCCTGCTCTTTCCAGTTTACAATCTAGGATTGGCCTTTACACAGGTTATTGTTTATTAAACATAGATAAACTGTGATAATCCTTGTCCTCTGTCAAGCAGTTTATTTAGTTGCAACCAGG